GTGAATGACAAACAAGATTAGACGTTGTCCCCCATTACTGCCGTGCCACCCAAACAAAACCCCGTCATTCGGTCGGGTGACATATCTGGGAGGGGACACTAGTTTTCTCCAACAAGGGGTCGGGCGTGCATCAGATACAAAGAGAGGGGGGCACTGGTGTTTGTGAACAAAGACTTGGACGGACATCGGCGGAGGGGGAGGGCCAGGGAACTTGGGCATGAGGGGGGCGGTGCGGAAACAACATTGTATGCTCTTATCAACAACTCGCTAAACGGTCCTCCGATAAAGTACTCACGGACTTGAGTATATCACTCAATGATTTACAATGTATGAAGCCTGGTTTGGCTGCCCAACGTACAACTGCTGGAAATCGTGAATAGGTGAAAACAGCGTAACACCATTGGGGTCTCACCGCTGTTTATTAAAGCGTATATACTGTTGAAAAAGAAATAAGGAAACGGATGTAACTGGTAGTATGTTGCGCATGATTCTAGTGCATGTATGTATGTGTTTGTATATGTGTAGAAAAAGATAACGACAGACTGCTGTAACGCTACATTAAGGATGTTAGACGCCTCTTGCGACAAGCAGGTTGCTGAAGACCAATTCTAACCCGGATCTTCACGGGTCTTCAGATATACGACGGTGGTTTAGAAATAATTGATTCTGAGACAGACAATCTAATGATTGACATCATGAGCATCGACCTGCGCGATGTGATGACGTAAAACTAAACTCACTCACTCACTCACTATGATGACGTGCATCAACCAAGTCAGTAATCCTGACCACCCGATTCCGTCAGATGCTTCTTGAGACAAGCAAACGTTGCTGATGACCAAATGTTACCCGGATGTTCACGATGACGGCGATGAGAGAGAGCAGTGGCCTGCGTCACTTTAAACAGCATGGAACACCAGAAATGGGCTTGACACGTTGTACGTACCTGACAAGCCAAACCCTGGGATTCGACGTAATGAGCGAACGCGTTTACAACTAGACTACCCACCGACGCTGGCGACGACCTCGCTGTACATCGTCTACGGTGTCATCAATCAGTTCAGTCAACCCGGGCCAAATTCACCGACGACAAGTCGTCCCGAGCCCCATGCCGACACTACAGGTGCCTGACCCCCGGGCCGGGGGCCTGACCCCTCATCTCATCTCTCATTTATATCGCTTCTTATCGCGCAGTTTACCTCGCTAAGGAGGGTTCGTGCAGACGGTGAGCCGGTCACGCACGAGTAGGGGCAGAAGCGGTTTGAGGGGCAATCTCGGCATCAGGCAAACTTTGATCTTCCATGGACTCACATGAGGCAACGCTGTGGGCTTCTCTGCTCTCGAAAGAAAGAATATCTCTGTCTGATATACAGGATACCGACGTTGCTACAAACACCACTTGGGTGTATACCTCGTTGTCAACGACATAACGACATCGTCGACCACGGTATCTCCCACCACGTGACCTCCCCATACTTAATCCGACCTGCCATGCTGCGACAGCTAAGTCCACCTCTCCGCAGACTCGATGGGTAACCCATGGCAAACACAGTTAGGTCGGAAATACTTAACGATAGACGATAACACTAATCTTCCTTCTTGTCGGACAATTAGGGACGTTTGATAAAAGCGAAAGAGTCGAATTATCTACCCTTGGTCTATGAGGTTTGGGGTTACGCTGCACCAGATCAGAATTCGTAGATTCACAAGCAGTCTTCAGTGTAGACTGAATCATCGGACAGCCGTGATTGGATGACTTTGTGCAAGATTTTTGTGTTTTTATATAAATGCACCCAGTTATTAAAACTGACCATATGTGTTGATGTATAGTGCTGACTTTTTTAACATGATGACGTATACTGAATATGATAACGGATATTTTCAAGCGGTAGACATTTTGTGCGGAGAGTTGGCCTGTTTAGCTTCCTGTACTCTGTAAAGGAGCTGACTGAGGTAGTCATTTTTTCATTGCTGCACACAGGTACATGTAATAGCCGATTCAGAGAGCCTGACCACCCTACCCGTAGGAGAGCGCTCTTCTGTTCTGTTGATCAATTCTGACCCGATCTTTACGGGGTATATTGATATATTTTTGTCTTGTTACTTAATGTGTTGGGGGAGGCTGGGAACTGCAGCTGACTGAGTGAATGTTGCTTTACGCCGTTGTCAGCAGCACTACTGCTGTTTGCTAAGTGACGCTAGCCTGGAGATAGTCAGTGGCAAGGATGTGGTTTGAAACGACCCTCTCCGTCGGGGACTCTGTTTAATACATCTGCAGAGCGCCTAATACCCATCTCAAAGATGCGCAGTGACCCTAAGGACAAATTATGCACAAACATTATCATATTGCCCTGGTTACCCCAAGCTGCTAGACTAACGCTTAGTCTCTGAATATATAGAATTTTGGTAGTAACAAATAAGCCCATTTAAATTGAAAAGGAGCCCCAGGGAGACCAGAGATTCAGAGGAAATCTAGACTTGCTTTATTTAGGGTTTTAGCACTGCAGATAGGCTGCCTGTGACAATCTTATCCCACCGGGTACCCTTTCACTGCTTGATGAACATAGCCAATTTTGAACAAACTCACTTTCCAAAGGTGGACCGACAACTACGTTTCCCCACTAATATCATTTTGAAATTATAAAAACCCATTATGACAATTTGACAGTTTACTATTCACATACAACGCCATCAACCACTGCCCCCTCCCTCCCCCTCTGGTTCAGGGTTACGCACAACTACCCACGTGTCCGTCTTGGTTGAAATCACCCCGAAAATTAACATCCCACCATGCCTAGAATATTAAATCGAGCTCCTATATATATAGTGATATCATAACACAGGTATAATCCCGGACCTAACGAAGCGGAAACTATGCGAAGACATTCTAAACTGTAGAATAAGGATAGGGGTGGTATGAAAACACGGAATAGTTTAGCAGATAGTACACAACCGAAAAAGGTCACACACAATGCAACCCCAAGTTTATGGGTTTATTTCAAATTTCAACATCGTGTGTCGTCAAGGATTATTCACGGTTCGTGGTGTTATAATCTGGGTCCATTAATCTTAAGAGTGCCCATTTAAAAATGAAATTGCTTCGTTTGGAGTCTGGGGCCGTGAAGGAGCCCTTTCATGTCATCGAGCATCTGTGCACGTTTTCCGTGATCCCAGTCTTTGTGTTTTTTCGCCATTAACGCTAACCAAAATATCATTTCGGGTATGAAACCCCGTATCATGTGTCGTTGATGCTGTTTATTTTGTTAGCAAATGACAAGATGGGGAAACTGGAGTAATTTAAAAAGTGGAGATATTTTTTCAAAGACTGTGATGGGGATCCAGGTGATGTCTATGGAAGTATGGGTGTGTCATGAAAAAGCTATTCACGTCGCTTATATTGTGGCTGGACAATTACAGTCAATGTCCGCACTTGTTTCACAATTTACCACGTATGTGGTCTTAAAGTATAAAATCATGATGGTTCTGGAAACCTTTTCTTACATCAAACTGCATATATGATTATGATGATGTAAAACTTTCGTAAATGATTTTCCCCTGTCCTCAAAAAGAATACATGAAAGCGTCCATCATCTAAGATTGGGAATGAAGAAATTTCTTGTATCAAAAGTCAAAATTTTAACTTTATCATCAATATTATTATAATAACATAGGTGGATCGGGTGTGTGTGTGTGTGTGTGTGTGTGTGTGTGTGTGTGTGTGTGTGTGTGTGTGCAGGGGTGCGCATCCCCCTTTTGTCCAGAAAGTTTGTTAAATGACTATTGAAACTCGGGTCCAAATGAAGTGTGCACCCCTTTTCTCAATAGTGTGCACCCTCCTTTCTCAAAAAGCTATATCCGCCCCTGAATAACTTTAATTAAATGCGTACCATCCTCTCCAGTCGCCAGTAATCATTACACTAGGTGATGTTGTTGATGTTTCTGCTGCTGCTGCTGCTGCTGCTGCTGATGATGATGATGATGATGATGATGATGATGATGACGACGTAAGAGTTGAAGAGGAGGTCGGATGAAGTAGGTGTTTTATTCCATGGAAAGACCCTTCCTTTTCAATAACAAAGATATGGAAGACCTGAAACATATAAACTATAAAGGAACATCTTGTTGAACTGAATCCTCAATAAATTAGAACCTGTTCAATGAGAGAAGAATGTGTTTTGTAAGATGTTTACATTTTCTGCACGTCCGTTAGAAACGTTAACTGGAACTTGTAGTGTCACTGAACAATGATGGTGATGATGTTAGAGGTTTAACGTGCGCTTTCACCGAATAGTTAGTTATTTACTTTATTTAGCGTCGCACGCACATCTAAGGTATTTGGGCGACGGGGTAGTACACTTATTAAGAAATGAGGGGAACAAAAAATTAGAAATTTTGAAAGAATGGTGATACTACCCAAAAAACTAGAAACGGAGTATTAAGGTAAATTTAAACGGAAGGCCGGATTAAAAAAGTAAGGAAAAATATGAAATAGGTAAAGAGTAATAGAGACTTGTAATTTAATATAGATGTATTATGATATATGGTTATTGTTATTGTTTGAGGACACAAACTTGTTAGTATGTTTAAAAACATATTTATCAAGTGAATAATGATGGACATATAAAAGGTTAAAAAATGAAGTTAAAAAGAGAAAGATGATTTGAACACTGAACAGTCCCACGTGTACTTAAAAACTGACATCGGGAGACCAAGTGAGTGATACCATTTACACATCAGCCGTCCCTGACGCAACGTTAGCGACAGCTATTTGCTGCTTAATTATTATCAATGGTGTTGATTAAAAGGTTTACAATGAGTGGTAAGACAGTAATCCTCCTGCCGCCAGAAGACAATCTTATCATGCACTGCAATCGAACACCGCGGGCTTATAATCCACCTAAGCACTTTTAGGCTTGTATTTATGTAATCGATTGAGAACAGACGGTCGCTCTCATGTAACCCTTTGTCTTGCAGTAACCCCGTGTGTTGGTCTATGTTGTGGAAACAGAGGAGTCTGGTCTTGTTCCGATCGGTGGTTGGAGGAGTTTGTTTGTAGAGGCTGTGTCATCAGAGAAGCTGTGATAGGATAGACAACCAAACAGCAGCTCGACCCCTCTGACTGCGCCATTACTGTGGAGTGTTGGCCGCACGGCCTGGAGTGTTTGCTCTAAACCTAGGCCCCAACTGTTAGCCAGGCAATCTGACTCGCCACCAGCCCCCATTCAGTGAAGAGGCTCCACACCACAACGTTGTCGTCTGCTACGAGTTGCAGACGTTCATTACCGTCTGCCGGTCGGGAAGTTGCAGACGTGTTGTGTCGTCTGCTTGTGTTGGGGGTGACGTGTGTGCACAATTACCTACAACACATCGAGGACCCGAGCGACGTGAGATAAAGAGGGGCACACGGGAGTTTACAACGCTAGAAGTCAGGACAAGGCGACCCTAGCCTGCTCGCGAGGAGTCGGATCGCCTTGTGGAAGGCCTCACATTCGAGACAGGAGTCTTTCAGACAACTGGATAGCTGTTTGTCATTTCTCGTCCGGGATTCTTCCTCTACAGTAAGTACCTCCACACAATCAGTTCTATGTCCATTTACCACGAATCTCCCCGGTCAAGTAAAACTGGACAGGGCCAGGCTTTGATAACATGTTTTGTGTGTTCTTATTTATAAGAGAGTGATGCACCATTGCAGGGAACAATTATAGATACATTCAGTCTCCTGGTGTCTTGGATTTATCTTGGCTAAGAATGACTAATCCGTATTTGACGATGTTTAGTGGGTACTTGATGCGTGCAACAGGGTGGTTTTGTCAGAGTCTAAGTTGTAAATTCATATTACTGGGACAAAGCCAATTACTGAAGCCTTCGGTGTCGTGTCTGAACGACAGAGGGTTTACATGTCTTATGTTCTTAGTCCTGCTGTATGCTGTGAGACGTGGACTTATAACATAAGGTGAAATAGTATTACGTAGCGTTCAGGATTATTGCACTTGGCCGTGCATACACTGTGCGTGTCCCTGTAGCTGGGCACCAGTGCCGGTTGTGCCTGCCTACACTATGCTGTAGTCAAACATGGATGCCCAACGCCGATATAGTAGGCTGACATCGTGTCGACCTGTCCTTGTTTTATGGACTGTATACATGATGTATGGACTGTACAGCGTACTATATGGACTGGTATATAGACTGTACAGCTACATAGACTGGTATATAGACTGTACAGCGTACTATATAGACTGTATAGACTATACAGCGTACTATATAGACTGGTATATAGACTGTACAGCGCTATATAGACTGGTATATAGACTGTACAGCTATATACTATATAGACTGGTATATAGACTGTACAGCTATATAGACTGGTATATAGACTGTACAGCTATATAGACTGGTATATAGACTGAGCTATATATATAGACTGGTATATAGACTGGTATATAGACTGTACAGCTATATAGACTGGTATATAGACTGTACAGCTATATAGACTGGTATATAGACTGTACAGCTATATAGACTGGTATATAGACTGTACATCTATATAGACTGGTATATAGACTGTACAGCTATATAGACTGGTATATAGACTGTACAGCTATATAGACTGGTATATAGACTGGTATATAGACTGTACAGCTATATAGACTGGTATATAGACTGGCTATATAGACTGTATATAGACTGTACAGCTATATAGACTGGTATATAGACTGTACAGCTATATAGACTGGTATATAGACTGTACAGCTATATAGACTGGTATATAGACTGTACAGCTATATAGACTGGTATATAGACTGGTATATAGACTGTACAGCTATATAGACTGGTATATAGACTGTACAGCTATATAGACTGGTATATAGACTGTACAGCTATATAGACTGGTATATAGACTGTACAGCTATATAGACTGGTATATAGACTACAGCTATATAGACTGGTATATAGACTGTGTACAGCTATATAGACTGGTATATAGACTGTACAGCTATATAGACTGGTATATAGACTGTACAGCTATATAGACTGGTATATAGACTGTACAGCTATATAGACTGGTATATAGACTGTACAGCTATATAGACTGGTATATAGACTGTACAGCTATATAGACTGGTATATAGACTGTACAGCTATATAGACTGGTATATAGACTGTACAGCTATATAGACTGGTATATAGACTGTACAGCTATATAGACTGGTATATAGACTGGTATATAGACTGTACAGCTATATAGACTGGTATATAGACTGTACAGCTATATAGACTGGTATATAGACTGGTATATAGACTGTACAGCTATATAGACTGGTATATAGACTGTACAGCTATATAGACTGGTATATAGACTGTACAGCTATATAGACTGGTATATAGACTAGCTATATAGACTATATAGACTGGACTACAGCTATATAGACTGGTTATAGACTGTGTAGGATATATAGACTGGTATATAGACTGTGTAGGATATATAGACTGGTATATGGACTGTACAGCTATATATATAGACTGGTATATGGATATATAGACTGGTATATAGACTGTACAGGTATATATAGACTGGTATATGGACTGTACAGGATACTATATAGACTGGTATATGGACTGTGTAGGATATATGACTGGTATATGGACTGTAAACAAATAATATAGACTGTTCAACATACTATATAAATGCAATGTTGATAACAACACAATATACATAGACTGTACAGGTCATAAATAATATGCATGATGTTGATGACTGAGACTGTTTTACTAAAGCAATATAGACTGTATATAGACTGTACAGGTCATAAAGAATATACAGCATGATGAATGTGTCATAATGATATATAAACTGTACAACATAATGTTTAGACTACTGAAGTGTGATATATAGACTAATCCGTTTATATATAGTGTGCAACAAAATACAGACTATAATGATATATAGGCCGCACAATAACACATTATGATATATAGACTGTACAACATGATATATAAAATGTAATGATATATTGACAGTACAACATGATATATAAAATGTAATGATATATTGACAGTACAACACATTATAATATAGACTGTACAACATGATATATAAAATGTAATGATATATTGACAGTACAATATAATAAACTGTTAGGATATATTGACTGAACAACATAATGTATGGACTCTAATGATATATAGACGGTACAGCAAGCAATGATATATGGACTGTTCAACGTGATATATAGACGTATAACCTGATACAGATTACATATAGAATGTATAGCTCATACGTGCCTATGAGATCATAACCTATAAGACACGGAAACAATAACGTGTACGGCAACGGTGATGTACCATTTATCCATCTGTGTATTGTCGTATCCTAGATGTGGGGCGGCGGGGTAGCCTAGTGGTTAAAGCGTTCGCTCGTCACTCCGAAGACACGGGTTCGATTCCCCACATGGGTACAATGTGTGGAGCCCATGTCTGGTGTCCCCCGCCGTGATGTTGCTGGAATATTGCTAAAGGCGGCGTAAAACTAAATTCACTCACTCGTATTCTAGATGCGCTCATCCATGCTCATGTTGTCGATCACTGGTTTGTCTGGTCCAGACTCGATAGCTGATTCAGTTATTCTATCCAGAAAAATGCATGCTCTCTAGCCTCAAGAGGCCTGACGTCCTTCCCGTCAATATGACTTCCTATTATTTGAACATTTATGTTTATTTGGCACATGTAATTAACAAGTAGTGGTCTATTGTCGCCCTGAAAAGTGTTCACCACCGGGCCGATAAAGGTGCTGATTAGTAACTCATCCATATTTATAAGTAAGCGAAAGATTTTGTTTTAAAGTAGGAATAAGTACATTTCAGGTTAAACCGGACGCAAAATATTGCTGATCACATGAAACGAGAGAATGGACTCGCGTTATTTGGCCCAGCGTCCCATCGGCTTCTCAAAAGATACGAGTTTCTGAATCACTGAAACCAATTCAGTTGTAGTCTACTGTAGCGGGAACCTTTACTTGATGACACCATTAAACAGACATTTAATCCCAGAAATATTGCTATGTCTACAAAACACATAATCAGCCCAGGACAGGAACTCTTGCGAAGTCATTCTAGATTTGGATTCATTTGATTGACATGTGTGTTGGAGTAGGATTCGGGTATATAAATATTCTCTTGGGGCTGGGAGACAGGCTACGATACCAATAAAGAGGGTCTCAATGATTTTCTTCACCGAATTACCCCCCAAAAAATAATCAAAGAATGAAATCCCATTTCAATATTAGGGTAATTATTTTTGTTAAATTATAGCAAAACTCATTACCTCCAAACCCATTACAGAGTCCGCGGGTCACACTATGATCCATGGAAACCACTACGTTTTTCAAATTGAAAATATTTTACTTCATGTTTTAACTATTTGTTATCTCGCTATCTCATCGTGCTCAACTGACAACATGGCGGATGACAAGCTATATAAACTCGCCGTTAGCGCTCCTTCGTAAACACTTGGTTTCTAATCCACCCAACATGCCCTTCGTTCACCAACATACCCCAGCCGCTGTTATCTGCGGGTGGGTACACAATGTCAAGATCCCACCCGATAAGCGAATTGTAATTGCCTTTAAATCACAATCTCGCATGACTTCGATGTCATTCGTCTTCCCCAGCGCTGCAGCCTGTGTCACACGCTAATGTCAAACTGGGTACCTGTCTAGTTGCCACCCACTGCGGCACACCGTGTAATAAACCCACTCTCATTTATATCGACATAATTACCTGTCTGTAGCGTCCACTACCCCCTTCCCCATTCCCAACCCCTAAGGGCTACCGTTTTGTCAATGCCATTGCTTAAAATTGTCGCATTACTGCGTGAGAACTTACGAGAATTTGCCTCATTTATTACATCGCCAACAGTCTACCGGTCCGTACACGCGCTACTATCTATCTACTGATTCAATCAAAAACCAATTTACCAGGATTATATAAAATCCAGCCCCATGACCGCCTTTAAGTCTCGCTTCCGTGGGGCTGACTTGTCATTCTGTCTATAAAACATTGACCAAAAATATGCAAACGTGTTGATAGTTTCCCAGACTAACATTAAGTCTCTGAATATATATATAATTTTGATTCTAACATATAAACCCATTTAAAAATGGAAAAGGAACCCTAGGGAGACCAGAGATTCAGAACCTTGGGAAATCTAGACATGCTCATTTAGGGCTTTAGCGTTGTGTTTGTATTTCCAGGTTCTATGTTGTGAGTTTGCATCCAACAAAACGTTTTTGATCACAGAATCACAGGACCTTGTAAGAGGTCCTGTGATGTTTAAGCTGTGAATTTGGTAATATATTCGCCAAGATGCCCCTCGAAAAGAAATTGGAAGCATTTACGAGCCATTACACCCTCCTAGACAAATATATATGCGGGATGTTTGTCTAATAAATCGGTGGATATTTTCATAAGGCTCTGTCGCATGTGTAGCGAGCAAATATATCAAACACTACATCTCTGGAGGCAATATGTTGGGAAGAACATTTGATTCACATGTGTGTTAA